TGTTATCTATTGTTTGATCAATTTAGACATTATATTCAATTGCGTTTTATCTTGTGGAGATCTGGTTAGCTGCCATCTTTTTCTTAGCTTCCTTTTCTCTGCAATAAGAGCTTTGGTGTCTATGGAGCAAGAGTGGATTTTCTTTTTAATTTTTCTAGCTGCGTCTATTACAATTGCACTGCATTTTCAGGTCATGTTTGTTTTTTAATGGTATATTACAATTAAGATTTTGCTCTATAATGTTTTGGAATAATTCCCAGTTTGTATACTTATTAGTTATAAAATCATTTTTCTTGTCTTCTAAAATTTTTGTACTGTAGGTGACTGTTATCGGTGTGTGGTCAGAACTTAGATCAAGACAAGATTTAGCCTGAATGTGTTCATTTGCTATACCTTTCAAGACGCTGAAATCCAATAGATCAGGTAATTTGCGCAGATCGCTCGGCCAGTGTGTGGACTCGCCAGTGGATAGGGTCGTTAGCCCGTGTTTCTGGACGGTTTTATAAAGTCCTTTCCCCCTTGGATTTGCCAATCGAGATCCCCAAAAGGTTATGCTTCGCATTAAAGTCTCCTCCCGCTATGAATTTTCTCTGAAGTGTTCCGAAAAAATTTTCAAATTGTTCACAGGTGATCTTGTGTTTTGGTGGACAGTAAATTGCAGATATTATTAATTTTTCAGTTTGTTGTTGAATTGTTAGTGATGTGGCTTGTATAAAATGCTAATTGACAGATGTGTTTTGGTAATGTTTGATGTTTTTTCTTATTATTATAGCAGTTCCACCGTGAGCTGTTCCATCCGGATGATTAGTATTGTAAAAATTATAATTGTTTAATTTGAAATAGTTTAAGTTTGTAAAGTGGGTTTCTGAGATCAACATAATATCTATTTTGTATTCTATTAAAAATATTTCTAATTCTTGCCTATGTTGAGCAAGACCATTGGCATTCCAGATTCCAATTATTAATGAGTTATTATTCATTTTAATTTTGAAACGACGGTGGTTAGTAAATTTAGTATGGTACTAATTTAGCCTATTAAATTTTTTATCATAGACTTTAGCTCAGCAATGTCGGAATTAGCTTGTTGCTGGTTGCAGACATTTGGATCTGGGATAATTTGGTCTATTGGGTTTGTGGCTTGCGCGTACGATTTATTAGATTGAACATATGACGGTCGGTTTATAGTATTTTCTGTTGGATAATATCTGGTGCAATTGGGGGAAATCTTTGAGCAAATAATTGTTTGTATTCCTTACAACCTTTGTAGTTGGCTGGGTGGTTTTCATTACAAAGTACGCATTTGACGTTTTTGTTGATGCGATCTGTTCATTCGCATTTTTTACTGGGATGATCGCCAGCACATTTCACACATCTTGCGTCTCTGAAGCAATACGAGTGATTAGTGTGACCATAACGTTGACATTTTGTACACTGTATAATTTCTCTTCTTGGATTTTTAGGATCAATTTTAACTCTAATTCTATTTAAAAATTCTATGTTGAAGATGTCTTTGTTATTAATGTTTTGTTCCAATTTACCATAAACATATGCAGTGGAGCACGATTAAGTCTATGCTTGATGTTGGCTATATACACAACTTTGTGTCCATGAGATTCAACTTCATTTTTGATTTTTTTTATATCGGTGCTGAAGTGAATATTTCTAATGACTACATTAAATGTTTGGTTGGTTTTGCTTAGAAAAGAGTGCATCTGTGTGTTTTTAATTTTTAAGAGGTTCAAAATTTTGTTATATAACTGTGCAGTACTCAACTGTATTCTGACTTGATCTGTACCAACAATTTTGTTAGTGTAGTTACCGTGTTTCTAGTAAAATTGACAACGGTCTGATTTAACATCATGGACAAAAATTGGCGGTGGTTTTAAAACTACTTCTTTCTGTTGGCTCTTGAACTTCATTCAAAACTTCAAAGGAATTGCTGGTTAATGTAGGGTTTAACCAATACTCTGCAGATTTATTTGCTTTATGTTTTTTGTACTTAACCTCGATCTATTCTTCAAAGTTCATGATTTTTTATCTTTGTTGACACAGAATGAACATTATTTAAACTAGATGAAGAATCGTTCAAAAGTGAGTTTTCTGATGGAGTCCGGGTCTGCTTAGTTGGATTTTCTATATGAATTATCACGCTTATCCGAGGCATCGGTTGTGGAATAGTTTGTTCAATATCCATATTTTCTTGACAATTAATCGAATTTCCGTTCAAATTACTTCTGCGGTTTTTAACTAATAAATGATGTGATAAATTAAGTCGTAATTTTTTTGTGGTTTGATCATAACATGTTCGCAAATCTTCCTATAATATATTATTTGTTTTGGTAAGAGAAAGTTTGTTCATTGTGTCCCCATAAAGCGTGACACAAAAATATGTAATGTCAACACACTAATTAATATACAAGTTAAGTACACTGTTATAAAAAATCACTTATTTAATGTCTGTATAGAAACAAAATAAGCTCAGAAAAAATAAACTACATTAATTTCAAACCATTTCAAATGTTGATTATGGTTTACGATAAGCAAGTATATGCTCAGAGCGTGACTGCAGCGCCCATGCAGCGCCGTAATAAATATGAACTAATTGGTGCTATCAGTGTGTGGTTTCCATGCATTTCATATGTTTGTTAAAGGAAAAAAGATATTAAATAATTGTTATAAATAATAATAAACAAGATACAATAATAATGTGAACGCTGAATGTTTATTGAAATTATTAAATTTACTTCAACGTACTTAAAACATAGTTAAGTATAATAATTAATTAAATAAAGAAGTGCAGTACACATTTGAAAACCACGCACTGATAGCCCCAATTAGTTCATATTTATCACGGCGCTGCAGAAGCGCTGCAGTCACGCTCAGAGCGTATAATATACATTTGTTCGGTGATAACTCTCTTTATAAACATTTATAAACATTATACATTATACATTATACCCTTATAAACATTATACTTGTTTATCTATGTAACTCCCCATGGGGAGTTATCTCCGAACAAATGTATATTACCCTGTTTTGGAAAGGACTACTATTTTTAGCGAAAAAAAGAAGTAGCTACTAGTTTCAAAATATGAATAAACGTTAAAATTACTCGCTTAAATTTGGTCACCTTTTTCTCTCAAAGTTTGTGGTTCGATGTTGTTTCTGTAATTAATTGTATTCAAGTGAGCATTTATGTGAAATTTAATATGTGGTAACTTCAGAAATAATATGAAAATGCACTTCTTTCCGGCTTTATGAAGTGAACAAATTAGAAATGTCCAATTATATTTTACAGAATAGTTCTCATGTCTATAGTTCACAGTAAAATAAGAAAAGAAAGACAATCTAATATATTATGACCAGGAGAACACTCTGCAACTCCAGTGGAAAGGGTAATAATAATTTTGAATATTTTAATACCATTTGCTATTACGTCTTGATATTATATTACAACATGTTATGTTTATTAGATGTTCTTGGGAATACAAATTGCAGCAGAATCTAGTGACTAAGGATAGGAGTGTCTTGATGCCGAGGGCATGTAAAATGTATGACGCATCCATTATATGTTGAGGGAGTTAAGAAAGATAGACAAAGAATGCAATAATTTAAGGTATAAATTGCAACAGAGTATAAGATGCTCAGAAATATTTTTAACATTCCAGCCGAAAGGATTGCTGCACTGTTTTATTGACACAATCGAATCATAAGAAATTCAAGATTTTGTAGAATGCAACTTTATTAATGATTGATTGTCAAGCAAAATAACTATCAAATGCAGAGTTAATGTTAAAGAAGAATGACTCATAAATGAATTTTAATTCTTGGAATTTAGTTTTCTATCAATTTTGATATCCATATATATATTATATCTGTAGGATTTAACGTTTTAAATTTGTTCATTATTTGTCATTTCTTCTAATTATACTATTCCATTATCTATCGTATATACTCTATATACTACATACTTAGACTCTATACTTTTCTCTTCTCTTTTTAATATATTATTATTAGTCATTAAGAAATTATTATTAGTCAGTTCGTGTAAATTCATTATACTTATGAAAGCTTTTACAGTATTTCTGTCTGGTTGTTATATATTGTTGATCATTAAGTAATGATCGTTCCTTTTAAGTTTAACATTTTATTGTAAATATTTCTACACAATCTCTGTCTAGTTGTTATATATTATTGATCATTAAGTAATTCATATTGATCGTTCCTTTTAAGTTTAACATTTTATTGTAAATGCTTCTACACAATTTCTGTCTAGTTGTTATATATTATTGATCATTAAGTAATTCATATTGATCGTTCCTTTTGATTTTAACATTTTATTGTAAGTGCTTCTACACAATCTCTGTCTAGTTTTTATATACTATTGATTATTAAGTAATTCATATTGATCGTTCCTTGTAAATTTATCATACCACTGTGAATACTTTTATTAGTTACTTATAATTGTAAAATTATAATACTTATTATTGTGTATATATTGATTATTACATTTATAAAAATTTTAATTTTTATGTAAAAATGTTTGTGATATATTTGAAAATATATTTTGTACTTCGTATGTTTTTTTTTTTCATTTCCAATATAAGAAATTATTTAGGTTTTCTTATTTTGAATTACGTATGCGAACCGTATCTAGGAATAATACCAGCGGTTGATTTATATACTGAACAAGTGCTGCCTCCTTCAGATCGCTAAAAATATTAAAATGGAGGTAATGTCAAATAGCCTCAGATAGCGATCTATTTAAGTTTACTTATCTATGAGATATACAAACATAGAGAAATAACGCGCAACTTGTTAAATGTCAAAACCACTAGATAGATGTCTAATCTCTCTAAAAGTGTACTCTCTATGCTTCAAATGTCATAAAATGAATTAAATTTTAGTTAAAATCATTTATGATGATATTAAACTAGATTAACTACTGTTTTTTTGTAAATATTTATTGAGTTGAGTATAAGCCGTGAAAATATTTAAAAATGTCAGACGAAACATTTATGTCAGTGAATGATCAGACAATTATTAAAATTGAACCACCAGAATATTCACCGGCAGACATTAAATGCGAAAATGAGGATGAATTTGATGCTCTTGATGCTATCGTTAAATCTGAATCATTTTTAGAAGACGATGATACCTGTTTAGAAAGATTCATGAATTCCGAGTTGACAATTGAAGATGAAGTCAAACAGGAGTCTTTTGACTGTGACATTTGTTATCAATCATTTGCAGAATCGCATCATCTAACAAAGCATATGGTCGATCACATGCCTAACCAAATCGAAGAACGACCTTTTGAATGTGAAATCTGTCAAAAGACTTTCAAACAATCAAAAGGGTTGAAAACTCACATGCTCATTCACAGTGGTATTAAACTCGAAATGGAGGATGAATTTGATGATCCCGACGTTATTGTTAAATCTGAATCGTGTTCTGAAGATGATGATACGTGTTTGGAAAGATTTATGAATTCTGAGGTGACAATTGAAGAAGAAGTCAAACAGGAGTTAGTCGAAACATCCAATTATGAATGTGACATTTGCAATAGAACATTTGCAGAATCAGACAATTTAAAACAGCATATGGCCGATCATATTTCTAACAATAGCAAAGAAAGTCCTTTCAAATGCGAAATCTGTTACAAGGCTTTTAATCGATTAAGTGTTCTGAAAAGGCACAAGCTCATTCACAGTGGTGAGCGCGCTCATGAATGCAGTAAGTGCAAAAAGACATTCACAACAATAAATTATCTGAAAAGTCACATGGTCATTCACAATGGAATACGCCCCCATGAATGTGATATATGCAAAAAGACATTTATGCGATTAGACAGTCTGAAAAGACACATGCTGATACATAGTGGAGTACGTCCCCATGAATGCAACATATGCAATAAGACATTCACAGATTTAAGTAATCTGAAAAGTCACAAACTGATACACAGTGGAATACGTTCCCATGAATGCAATATATGCAAAAAGAAATTTATAGAATCAAGCAATTTGAAAAGGCACATGCTTATTCACAGTGGAGGACGTCCCCATGAATGCAATATATGCAAAAAAACATTTATAGAAAAAGGTCATCTGACAAGTCACATGCTGATACACAGTGGAGTAAAACCGCATCAATGCAACATATGCAAAAAAACATTCACGCACTCAGGCGGTCTGAAGAGTCACATGCTGATACATAGTGGAGCACGTCCGCATGAATGCAATATATGCAATAAGACATTCACACTATCAGGTAATCTAAAAAAGCACATGCTGATACATAAACGATAGCATTATGATAAATGTGAAGTATGTAATAAGAAATTTACTCAATCGAAGGATTTGAAGAGATACATGGCACTTCACAGTCAGAAGCTTGGTGAGGATCAATGAAACATAAATAAATATTTGTTCACTTAAATTTAAATATTGTAAAATTTTCTTGGAAAGTATATATAGTACGAAATATACAGTAACCACTACATTACTTTGGTTTCATTACGTGGACTGTAGAATGAAAGTCAAAGTTTAAGTATTTGTTTTATTAATTTTTGGTATAGCAGCATGTTATTGTTATTTCACAATGTTGTAGAGTGTTTTGTTATCTTTTTATTGACATATAATAATAAATATGACTTCTAACAAAGTTTTAGGATATTTTGAAAAATCTGACAAAATGCCCTGTAGTTGCTTGTAAAGAATCACATGTACTTGGAAATCCAAGTTTATATGGCAAAAATGTATTTGCACAGTTTTACAATGTTAGACAAAAATATTGCAAATTTAATATACTATAAAATCTTCTAATACTGTACTTAGGTACAAAAAGTATTTCACAATCTACAGCCAAAATTTTGCAAAACGCACAATCAATATATATATATATATATATATATATATATATATATATATATATATATATATATATGAGTAAGTTCTTGTGGGGCGATACATCAAAGAATAAAAAGCAAAGATTTATAAATAAATATATATATATATATATATATATATATATATATATAATACTTATTGCTAGAAGTTTCTATTACAACTAGAGCTACATAGACTCGCTGTGGGTCTCCTCGTCCTAACAAAACCTCACATTGTCTATTTACTTGTTTAGAATTCCAGAATGAAAAAAATTGACATAACATATGTCCTCAAGGAGTAAAAACTTTGAAAAAAAATATAAAGATAGAAAAATTAAGTACCTACTCGCATTACTTTAGAACAGTGATTCTCAACCTTTTTTGGGCCCTGCCCCACCTTGAGTTTTTTAACGTTATGCCCGCCATACAATTTTTTTTTGTTCCTGAAAAAATGTGAATGATAACTTTTAAGATGAAATCGCTATTAAACATCGTAAGTAAAATTTCGGAATAAGCCAACTAACGGAAATTTCAAACTAATTTTATTACTGTTTTTTCGAAATTTCTTTAATACAATACTTAAGCCAAAATAAAGACTTTATATTAGGTTTTAACTTATTGAACTTTTTGTACTTATGATTACATTTGGGCATTTGGTTTCAGTTTCTTCATAAAGCCATTTCTTAACAAATCTACTTAGCTAGTTGACATTTTCTTAACTCAGAACGGAATTATATATAAATTTTATATGTTTTTTTAGTTAAATCTAAAAACTAATTTTCATTTTTCACATTTTTCTCGAAATTGGTAGTCATCGTTGGCAACTAAGTAAGTGCGCATTTTTGTTAAAAAATCAAAGACAATTTTTGCGTGGAATTAAATAATTTTGTTCTTTGATGTATTGACCATTTTGATCGATGGCCTTTTGTTATTTTCCAAGAAGCATCATTATCCCTAGTTTATAAAACTTATAGTTTTTATTAGCAAAAACTGAATTAAGCACAATTTGACACCATCATGATTTATTTTTTAAATTCAAGAGTTTTAACTCAGATGGTTTGTGATCAGGAATATTTGGTGGATGTGGAGAAAAATTTCAACCAGCCCCCAATAATGTTTAAACATTGCCAAATTGTTTCTATTAGCCAAATCGATTATTGCTTTAATTAGGTTGTCCAAAACTTTAACTGGACAATCAGAGCAGCATTGAGATGAAAATTACCAGAATGACATTTTCAAAACCAATTTTAACATAGCTGCTTTTTAAGGCTTTGACACTATAAACGGCACCTAATCTTTGGGAACATTGTTTTACCCTTTGCAGAAATAAATATGCAAAATTTGACTAAAATGTTTGTTTTGATATTCCATCTTTCAACGCTTTACAAAACCGATAAAAAAAGTATTTTCTACTAATCGACAGCTAAATTTCTCATTATTGAATACTACCTCAACCTCAACAAACGTAAAGAATCATTTGAAGCAATCTAAGAGTCAAAGCCGCACTTAGTGTCAACCTTGTACTATTTAAGGATATAATAAAAATTAGTTTGTTTTAAATTAATTCCATCTTTAGCCATAGTTAATGACAGTGAGTAAAAACTCACGTCATATTTATGATTTTTCCGTTTTTAAACACTTGTATAAAACTTTGTTCGCATAAAGCTTCACAATTAACTTTAGTATTTCCTTGTACATATTTCAAGTTGAGTCTTGTCACTGACCAGCACTTATACCAGCAGTCAGAAACTTGATTTACCTAATTTTTTAGTGATTTTCGTAAATTGGAATATAGAAGTTGAAAATAATTGGTGAAGGGCTACTGGAACCGAAAGAATTGTTGCATTCCGCAACATTCTCTTTCATAATGCTTTTGTTAATTTTATATAAAGTTTATTGCATATATCATTTTCAGATTATAATGGGAAGATGTAACTAATTTATTATAAATTAATAAGAAAAATTCAAATTCAAGCAAATCTTTTTAAAAAGTCAAATCAACCCGGCAGAAAAAACTCCGGCACCAGGAAAGCAAGGTTGAAAACTAAAACCGTCCCGGTCATACCGGGACACTTTATTATTCTAAATCTAAGAAGCATTTTTTTTAACTTCCCGAAGAAGTTTATATTTTCATAAAAAAATTCGATTCGCTAATTTTATGTTTTCTTACGTTTCAAGCCATTCTGAATCGAATGAGACCAAATTTGAAAAAAGTATGTGTGTGTGTGTGTATGTGTATGTGAACAATTTTTTTGCCGTAAATCGACGTTTTCTCATAAACGGTTGGGCCGATTTCTAAATTTTAAAAGCCATTCGATGTATCTCGACGAGAACTATTGTTTGTCAGTTTTGTGTGACGATCGGCCAAGCTGTTTCTTTATAAATCGCAGAAAAGTGAAAAATTTTTTGTCTACGTTTTAGCCAGTAATTCTGAATCGATTCTGAAAATTCAAAAACCGTTCGAAAGATATTGGTTGGCAATGGTGCTGATTAGTTTTTGGTTAAAATCGGCCGGGCCGTTTTCTTGTAATAAAGTTTAAAAAAAAAATTCGACGATTTTTATGATTATTTTTTTGACGGTAGATACCATAAGACTATGGTATCTACCGTCAAAAAAATAATCATAAAAATCGTCGAATTTTTTTTTAAAACTTTATTTTAACTTAATTTTAACTTAATTTTTAACTTTTATTTTCTAGATCATACTAAAATATTACGGCCCCACGATAACTGGTTCAGCTTTAAAAATTTGTCAAAGTTTGCAAAAATTGGTATCGTTTTTTTTTTGGCATTTGTCAAAATTAGACCTTTGATCGACGTTTTCTCAAAAACGCCTGAACCGATTTTAGAAATTTAAATGCCATTTGATGTATTTCGGTGAGGACTATCGTTTGTCAGTTTTGTGCGACGATCTGCCAAGCCGTTTCTTTGCCATTTGAAAAAAAGTGTTAAACTTTTCGTCCACATTTTAAGCTCATCCTACCGAACCGATTTTAAAAAATCAAAAACTGTTCGAAAGATATTAGTTGGGAATGGTACTGATTAATTTTAGGTGAAAATCTACCGAGCCGTTTTCTTGTAATTAACTATTAGAACTTACTGAAATATTACGGCCTTACGACATATAGTTTGATTTTAAAAATTCATCAAAGTTTGAGAAAATGAGTAGTTCTTTTGACTATTTACTTGGTATAATGATAGAGTACTTGGTCTTGAACATATTAAACCATTGAAGTTCTGGAAACTGGTTCAATTATAAAAATTATTGATTTTTGAAAATTTGCTATTAGAAAATACTCCGAGTCAAAGTGTTTGTTCGTTTTCAATTATGTGTAATATATCCACTCGGAATACTTTTAATCACTCATAAATTAATTTATTTTTTATTAAGTCAATTATTATTTAAACATATCGGGAAGTTTATATGTTTAAATAATATATAATATTATAATAACATATTTATTATATGTTTTACCGATACTATACTACATTACATTAAAATCACCAAAATTTTTAAATTGGCTCCCTGAAATTACAAACTGCCCCCCCCGTGGGGCGTGCGCCCCACGTTGGGAAACACTGCTTTAGGAAAAAAAATAGAGTCAGACTTTTATTATTAGAATACAGATTTTTACAAAAGTTTTACGCCGAATTGTAACTATTTTTAATATGGTATTATTTAACTTAGGTGTAGAAGTTTTTGAAATTATAATAATATATGTTTGCTAATAATTTTATCGGATGAATAGAATCTTACAGGCAATTTATTATGAGAGTATACTACTTTATAAATATTTTAAATATATAAACAATAGCTTTAGCCAGTTTATCTGAGAAATTGTTTTAGATAATTTAATTAGCTACAATTTATCTAATATCATATTTAGTTACAAAATACCGTTTAGAGATTATTATTAAAAATTTAAAAGAATGTCTTTACTCTAGACAACACTCGTCGCCATTACCATATCACTTTTGAGCTTATGCAACTTCGTAAATAATTTAAAAATATAAATAATAATTTTACAATATTTTCATCAAAAAAATGTTTTAGATAACTTAATTACTTATAATTTTATCTAACATGATATTTATTTACAAAATACAGATTAGATGTTATTAACAAAAATGGTAAAAAATGTCTTACATTGTCTATGCAATTTTAAAAATATTTTAAAATAGAAATAATAACTTTACATAATTTTTGTCTGAGTAAATATTTTAGATAATTTATCCAGCTATAATTTCCTCTTATACAACATTCATATACAATCTATAGATTTTGAGTAACCGACATAATCACGAATAAATGTCCTGAATTTACAGCACTAACTAAGTAACTGTGAATTATTATGTAATAATGCATTAAATATTTTTCTGAATTGAAATCAGTTTTAAAGTGACTTTCGTCGGGTTTGTATAAATATTTTATTTAATCGAATTAAATCGGATGTATTTAAGTGTTTTGTGTGAAATTGAATTGTGTTGTAATAGTTTTAATAGTGATTTTAATTTTTGTAGTTTAACACGTTGCCGCACACTTTTAATTTGACGATCGTGCTAGAAACACATTTTTTTTAATTGTTTATGATTGCCAGATGAAATTGAGTGTTGTATGTTTGGAAGTGTTAAATAATGGTTTTGTGGATGTTAACGTGAATAAAGTACCAAAAAGTAAGTAATTTGTTAGGAAAATATTATATAAATTATATACATTTTATAGCATTTAAATTAAATATTTCTCTAAAATGTGTAAATGCATTTATATATTAATAGAAAAAATAAATTTAATTAGAATTAGATCGAAATTTTTTATGAATATTCCAATGTAAAGTGTGTTTGTCTGATGGAGAGAAGTTGATACGGGCATTTATTTATATTTTTATTAATAACTTTCAAATTACTTGTTATAACTAAATACTATCTCACTTTAACAAAGGTTTAGTTGAATAAATTCCCTAAACAAAAATATTGTAAAATGTGTGCTTATATTTTTAAAATATTTTTGAAGTAGAACTTTGCGGGATACCAAATGTAGTCTTTGACAAAGCTAAAGTTGAATAAATTCTCTGAAACATTTTCTTACACAAAAATTATGTAAAAATTCTGCATATATTTTTAAAATAATTTTGAAGATGCTTATTGTTGAAAACGTGTCGTACATTTTGTGGTACAAAGACATTTTTCGATGTTTTTATTAATAACTTTTAAATTACTTTCTATAACTAAATACTATTCTTAAGAAAATTGTAGCTGAATAAATTCTCTAAAACATTTTCTTAGACATTTTTTTTACTTCTAAACTTCTGTTTAATATTAAATACGTTCTTAGAGAAAGTTAAAGCTACTCCAGACCAATTTGTATTTGAACTGAAAACCAAAATGGTTACTAATCCACATTAATAATACTTAATTCATAAAAATTAAAATATGAATAAAAAATTATAAAATAATATTGATATTATGTAATGTATACTGTATATTTCATACTATTTATACATTCCATTAGATGCAAAAAAATTACAATATTTAAATTTAAGTAAACAAATATGCTTATGTTTCATTGATCTTCACCATGCTTCTGACTTGAAGTGCCATGTGTCTCTTCAAATCTTTCGACTGAGTAAATTCTTTATTACATACGTCACATTTATAAGAATGCTCTCGTTTATGAATCAGCATGTGCCTTTTCAAAACCTTTAATCGATCAAAAGCCTTGTAACAGATCTCGCATTTGAAAGGACTTTATTTGCTATGACTAAGCATTTGATCGGCCATATGCTCTTTTAAATGACCTGATCCGACAAATGATCTATAGCAAATGTCACATTCATAAGATGATGTCTCGACAAACTCTTGTTTCACTTCTTCTTCAATTGTCACCTCGGAATTCATGATTCTTTCTGAACACGTATCATCATCTTCAGAACACGATTCAGATTTAACAATAACGTCGTGATCATCAAAATCATCCTCCATTTCGAGTTTAATGTCTTCTGGTGAAATTTTTTTAATTTTTTTTTAACTTCCCGTAGGGTAAGTTATTGTAATGGGCCGAAAATCAGAATTGAAAATTTTTACATTTCTCGACGTTTTGAAGGTTTCTGAACATTTTGGCATACCTCAGAAAAAATGGATGTGTGTGTGTGTGTGTATTAGAGATGGGCTTATCATATCCGAAGCCCGATCAGTTAGGATTTGAATCCGCTTCAGAGAGGAGTTATATCCACAACTCCGACAACTTTGAAACCTAATACTTGACGCAAATGTGTTCTTTAGTGTGTTGTTACCATATCTAAGGATTTATTAAGACTTCGTAAATAGTTTGCAAGTAGTTCAAACATTTTTGTTCATTTTATTATAATATTTACTATTTTATGCATTTCAATATGCATACAAATCTCAAATTGACAAAAAACTTAGGAATCAAAATCAATTTTGTAATTATTTTTGAAGAGAAAATATAGAATTCTTTGAATATGTTTATTTTCATGTAAAAATAATGCAGTGAACCTTATATATGAAATAAAAACAAATCTTTGTGTGTAATATTTTTCACAAAATAATAATACCTCACATTATTTTATTATTTCCTTTTCGAAAATAAATTATACATCAGATAGTTTGATTAGCATACTATTGCTTTTACACAATTATGAAATCATTATTGTGTAAAAGTTATAATATATTACTAAATATTATTTAGCTGGTTGTATACCGTTGAAAGAGCTCATTTATGGACAAACATTATCGTATATAGAATATAGTGAGATTCAGACTTCAGGGCAATACATCAATTAGAAACTTGTATGACTTTAAAACATTTTTAGTTTTTCCATACGTTTCGACACATTGTTTTGTGTCATCTTCAGTGGACTCTAGTTTGAAGGAACAGATAGAAATTATTAATTAAAACTAATATATAAGAAGTGATATGGTATGAACTTACATGTAATTGTAATAATCCTAATTATTTCATAATTATAATTGTTCACAATTCACAAGTTTCAGCAATTTGCCTTAAGGCACGATGCCACCCACCCCACTAGTTTTTTTTTTATTTTAATAATTTTTACAACTATCCTGCAACGGACAACAAGTAAAATATTTGACATGAAACTGAAGACGTTGGCAAAATACAGATCATCTGACCATTGCCAGTGATTTGTCGAAGGTCTTATCTATTGTTGATTAATGCAGAAGAAATTTTTTTTTTAATCGGGCCCTGGTAGAGTTGTATTGAAGTTTTCTGGCAAGCAAGTTCGGGTGATCAGCTAGGCGATTTCTATATTTGTGTGATTAAGCGATTATTTCATCCTTAACTGTGCTAGTGCCTGTGTCTTTGTGTATTAACCAATTTGGAACATACTTTGGTGCTTTCACAATTTCATTTAATAACTTGTTTTGAAATCTTTGAATGATTAAAGCGTTTGAGTTGGAAGTTGATTCCCATAGCTGTATGCCGTATGTCCAAATTAGTTTAATGATGGCTTTATAGAGGTAAATTTTATTATGCGTGTCAAGTTTTGATTTTCGTCCAAGGAGCCAATGATATCTTCTTCTGGTTTCTTCAAGCTGCTTCCTCTTTTTCTTAATGTGTTCTTTCCAGGTTAGTCCCTTATCCAGGTGTAAACCTAGATATTTGACTGTATCTGTTTGATCTATAATTTCGTCATTAAGTTTTACTGCAGGACAAGTCCCTTTGCAAAGAGTGAAAGTGATGTGTTTTGACTTGCTGCTGTTAACTTCTATTCTCCACAAGCTTAACCATTTTTGTATCACGTCAAGATGATCCTGCAGCATTTTTGATGTGATTATGGGATCTTCATGTGTTGCCATTATGCCTGTGACGTCTGCATATGTTGCTGTCAAAATGTCATCTTTCTGTGGTAGGTCCGCAGTGTATGCGAGGTATAGTAGTGGCCCAATGACACTACCTTGAGACACTCCCGATCTGACAGAATGTAATGAGGATTTCCTCACCTTACACTAACGAAGAATGTTCTATATTTCAGGTAGGACTTTATGATTAGGTATCAAACGGTAATGCAAATTGATGCTCAGGGATAATGTTGCCATCATAAATAAAGGGTTTTATTTTACTAATTACGATCTTCTCAAATATTTTGGATAACGTTGTAAGTAAACTAATTGGTCTATAACTTTGAACATCATTCGGATTTTTACCAGGCTTCGGAATAATTATGATTTTAGCAATTTTCTATTGATCGTGATATGATTTAAGTCTTATTATACTGTTAAACAGAATTGTTATGAAATGGTAGGCTTTGTAGGCAAGTTCTTTAAGTATGTTAATAATAATGTTGTCAACGCCAGGCGCTTCTGCAGATTTTGCTCTTCGGATTTCTTTTGTAATTTCTGTAACTTTGATTATGATGTTTGATGAAAAATTTGACTGAACTTCTTTCAAAGAATCAAAAATAATTTTTTCTTCTTATTCCGAGGATTTTGAAGAATTTGGCGTAAAAACTTCCTTAGAGTAAGTCGAGAAATATTCTGCTTTTTCTAAATCACTGGCAGGACGTTTTAAGTTTTTTGTGGCTTTCCAAATCGAATGATCTGATAATGTTAAATGGGACAAAAGTCTTGAAATTGGTCGTTTTTGAACGTTGTTATCTGTTGTTTAATCAATTTAGACATTCTGCTCAATTGCGTTTTGTCTTGTGGAGATCTGGTTAGCTGCCCTCTTTTTCTTAGCCTCCCTTTCTCTGCAATAAGAGCTTTGGTGTCTATGGAGCAAGTATGGATTTTCTTTTTAATTTGTGGGGGTGTACTTTTTCTAGCTGCATCTATTACAATTGCACTAAATTTATCAACAGCATTCTTCAGGTCAGTTTTGTTTTCCAATGGTATATTACAGTTAAGATTTTGCTCTATAATGTTTCAGAATAATTCCCAGTTTGTATACCTATTAGTTATAAAATCATTTTTCTTGTCTTCTAAAATTTTTGTACTGTAGGTGACTATTATCGGTGTGTGGTCAGAACTCAGATCAAGACAAGATTTAGCCTGAATGTGTTTATTTGCTATACCTTTCAAGACGCAGAAATCCAGTAAGTCAGGTAAATTGCGGAGATCACTCGGCCGGTATGTGGGTTCACCAGTGGACAGGGTCGTTAGCCCGTGTTTCTGGACGGTTTTATAAAGTTCGTTCCCCCTTGGATTTGCCAATCGAGATCCCCAAAAGGTATGCTTCGCATTAAAGTTTGCAATGAATTTTCTCTGAAGTGTTCCGAATTTTTTTTCAAATTGTTCACAGGTGATCTTGTGTTTTGATGGACAGTAAATTGCAGATATTGTTAATTTTTCAGTTTGTTGTTGAATTGTTAGTGATGTGGCTTGTATAAAATGCTCATTGCAGATTTGTTTTGGTAATTTGATGTTTTTTCTTATTATTATAGCAGTTCTACCGCGAGCTGTTCCATCCGGATGATTAGTATTGTAAAAATTATAATTATTTAATTTGAAATAGTTTAAGTTGTAATTATAATTGTTTAAATAGTTTGTAAAGTGGGTTTCTGAGATCAGCATAATATCTATTTTGTATTCTATTAAAAATATTTCTAATTCTTGCCTATGTTGAGCAAGACCATTGGCATTACAGATTCCAATTATTAATCAGTTGTAGTATGGTACTAATTTGGCCTACTAAATTTTTCATCATAGACTTTAGCTCAGCAATGTCAGAATTAGTTTGTTGCTGGTTGCTGACATTTTAGTACGGGAGGTAGCAACGTTTTCGTGCAAGCATTTTAGTCAGGCTGGTTTTTTGGTATGTGGTCCTTGGTGCTTTCTTGCCCAGTAAACCACAGAAGTTAAATCCACGTAACTCATTTTGTAACTTTCGTTTCGAAACTGATGTTAAGTAAAAAAAACGATGCTGTTACGTATAGTTGTGACCTTTAACCACCGTCGACCAGTTTAAACGTTTACAATACTGCTTTGTTCGCATCTGTCGGTACGTGGCGTGGTACGTTGCACGGTCACATAGATTAGCCTTTGAAAATAGCCGTGAAGTGTTTTATGATCGAAATGTCAAATTAAATATAGGTTAACTCGGCCAGTGCATCGTGGACGCATAATTGAGTATTTTATCGTGTATGTTTGAAATGCAAGATGTTTCCTTTATTGAAGCGTTATTTATTAATTGCTTTTATATTTAGTGCGAAATCAGTTGTAGAAATTAGTTAAACAGTCAGCTGGAAAAGTATTTAATATGAAACCGGCAAACAAGGTGAGTCTAATTGTACTGAAATATATTTTAATTTATAAATTATTATAATAATGTTTAGTCATTTGCAGTATATAGGCCGCCTTCAATGCAAAGTCTGTTCATGTATTGTGATAATTGATTTATCATGTAATAATTGAAATTTTTAACACACCAGTCAGAAACATAACCTCAATTCAGTGATATATGAATAAAGAGAAGTAAGTTATTTAGTTTTATACATATTCATTTTTTATAGTTCCATTAGTATCAGAACTATTTAGCTAAGCACAAATTGATATAAGTTGGTTTTCAATTGTAGAGAAAATTACAGTGCTGATAACCCCTACGAAAATGGATTTCAAACTAGGGAAATTTTCTCCAATAGAGAAGATAAATACAAAGTTAGATAATATATTAGAAATTATTAATCCTTTGTCACCAAAAAAAAAAAAACGAGCGAGGCTTGAAAACATGCAAGAAGAAAAATAAGAACACATATCGATTAAGTGTTGAAAAGAAAATGAATTGTGGAGTATTTCTTAAGTGATGATATTGTATTACAGAATAGGTATATTAATGTTTTACACAAAGAGAATTTTAACTAATATCATTTAGTACTAATTTGTAATGTTTTACTTTTAGGAAATTCACATATTTAATACGAAACCAGCAAAGGCGAGTATAATTGCACTGTTTTTTTTTTTTTTTTTTACAAATTATTATATTAATGACTAATTAGTTATTTTCAGTATATAGGTCATGTGCAATGCAAATTCTTTTTATGTATTGTGATAATTGATTTATCACACAATTATTGAAATTTCTGACAGACCAGTCAAAAATCACATAGCCTCAATTCAGTGATATGATATGAATATTATAGGTAGATAAGTGTAATATATATGTTATCATACATATTCTTTATAATTTCATTAGTATCAGAACTATTCAGTTAAGCAAAAACTGATATAAATTGCTTTTCAATTGTAGAGAAAGAGTGCTCATAACCCCTATGGGTTATGTCAAAATGGAATTCAAACTAGGGAAATTTACTCTAATCAAGAAGATAAATTGTCACCAAAGGAATAAGCAAGACTTAAAAACATGCAAGAAGGAAAACAAAGAATGCACCGGATATCACACATTATATGGATTAAGTGTTGAAGAGAACATGAATTGTTGAGTATTTCCTGTCTGATGATCTTGCATTACAGAATTGGTATATTAAGGTTCTACATGAAGAGAATTTTAACTAATATGATTTAGTACTAATTTGTAATGTTTTACTTTTAGGAAATTCAGATCTTGAAAATTAATAAGATAAAATCAATGCAAGAAAATGATTGAGTGTGTGTTCATGGAATAATTATCTCTGTCATATGATCGTAGGAACTATATAGTCATTAACTTCAAATAATGAGTATATTTAGAGGTAATGTTCACAAATGACTAATTTGTTCACAATGTTTTCAATTCAAAATTTGTTTACAATGTTTCTAAGATGTTTGGTTCTATTTTAGATACATTAACAGATGCAAGTGAGTTGAACATATTTAACGCAAGACTTAACTTTGCCAAGTCTGATTTAACTGAAGTTGCCAAGAGAGTTAAACATAATACATATTATGAATAAATAAATAATTATTTTTATAGGCTAACATTTTATGGACTATCAAATTTTAGTTTTCTAATGTTGCAACTATGTAATATGTAAATTTTGTATATTGTAAATGATATTATTTAATAAAATTACTAAATATCCGAAATTGATTCTATATTTGCAGGAAATTTAATTAAATAATTATGTAACATAAAAGACACCTGCACGCTTTTTTATTCAATTTAGATACGTAGCAAAAATGCAACCGCGGTGTATTAGTGTTCAACGAAACAACCGTTACGTTCTTGCCCGCGAAATAAATACTTCTGTGTGCCTCCCAGGTTACGTACCTGGTTCGTGCGGACGTGCCAGCGTCACGTAACATTCATTTTACGTTGCCAGACATTTTGGGCCCTGCTAAATATGTGCCAGACGCCAATATATTTATTAATTTTTTTAAAAATTCAAATCATTTTAGTCCGTCTGAAATTTTAGTATTATGTTCGTTAAGGGTAAAAACACATAAAATTAATTTGCCAGACGTTTCTGCAGTTGTGAAGCATGTCTGGCAACGAAAAAGTCTGGCAATATAGATACTAGTAGACAGAGTGAGACAATCGCCAAATACATTGGCGCGAATGAAACAAAAAGCTATTATACTCGTAAGAGCGCAATACGTTTACTAGGCAGAAAACCATAAGAAAAATCAAGTAACTATTAGACTGATGTGTTTGTTATAAACTTCTCTTCAAAATTGTGTTTATACCATTTTTTTTAGAATCGCCGTTTCTTACAAATTGCCATCTGAAAAGTTAAAAAATTCATATTCCTCATAATATGCATCCTTTATAAATACATCATCTAAATGGTTTCAACTTAATTTTCATTTGAAGCATAGAGAGTATTTTCTAGAAAGATGAGGCATTTATCGTGGCGCGTCTTTTCAAAGTCAATATGGTTCTCTATGTTTCCGCTCTCTCTAATTCTACAAACAAACTCTATGCTTCAAATGCCAAATAATAAATGTAAATTTACCTAGACAATATAATAATAAATTTAGTTAGAATAATTGATCATATTGAAAATAATCATTGATTAAACTAGACTATTATTTAGCACACAACTATTTTCGTTAATTTTTTCTGAGTGTAAGCAGTGAAAATATAAAAATGTCGGAGGAAACAATTATGTCTATGAATGATCAGGCAATTAAAATTGAACCACCAGAATATTCACCAGAAGACATTAAACACGAAATGGAGGATGATTTTGATGATCCCGACGTTATTGTTAAATCTGAATCGTGTTCTGAAGATAATGATACGTGTTTAGAAAGATTTATGAATTCCGAGGTAACAATCGAAGAAGAAGTTAAACAGGAGTTAGTCGAGACATTAACTTATGAATGTGACGTTTGCAATAGATCATTTGCAGAATCAGATCATTTAAAAGAGCATATGGCCCATCATTTTCCTAATAATAGCAAAGAAATTCCTTTCAAATGTGAAATCTGTCACAAGGCTTTTAATCAATTAAGTGGTCTGAAAAGGCATATGCTCATTCACAGTGGTGAGCGCGCTCATGAATGCAATATATGCAACAAGAAATTTACACAATCAGGTCATTTGAAAAGTCACATGCTGATACACAGTGGAGTACACGCCCATGAATGCAATATATGCAAGAAGACATTCACACAAACAGGTAGTCTGAAAAGACACATGCTCATTCACATTGGAGTACAACACGCCCATGAATGCAATATATGCAAAAAAAAATTTACAGAAAGAAGTAATCTGAAAAAACACATGCTGAGACACAGTGGAGTACGTCCCCATGAATGCGATATATGCAATAAGACATTCACAGAATTAGGTAATCTGAAAAGTCACAAGCTGATACACAGTGATGAGCGCCCTCATCGATGCAATATATGCAAAAAGACATTCAAACAATCAGGTAGTCTAAAAAGACACATGCTCATTCACAATGGAATACTCCCGCATGAATGCAATATATGCAAAAAGACATTCAAGCGATCAACAATTCTGAAATGTCACATGCTGATACACAGTGGAGTAAAACTGCATCAATGCAATATGTGCAAAAAAACATTCACGCAATCAAGTAGTTTAAAAAATCACATGGTAGTGCATAGTGGAGTACGTCCCCATGAATGCAGTATATGCAATAAGACATTCGGACTATTAGGTAATCTGAAAAGTCACATGCTGATACATAGTGGAGTACGTTCCTATGAATGCAATGTATGCAACAAGACATACACGCTATCACAAAGTCTGAAAAGTCACATGCTGATGCACAAAGAAGTAGGCTCTCATGAATGCAATACATGCAATAAGAAATTCAAAACGATTAAGTCATTTGAAAAGGCACAAGTTGATTCATAATCGAGAGCATACTGATAAATGTGAAGTATGTAATAAGTAATTTACTCAATCGAAGGATTTGAAGAGACACATGGCACTTCATAGTTTTAAGAGTGGTGGAGATCAATGAAATATATACTTACATTTAAATATTGTAAATTTTTCTTGCATGTAATGGAATGTATAAATAGTATGAAATATCACAACAAAATAAAAATTAAACCGGCATGAAGTGGCTCATTCCGGAAAACGTCAAAAAAATAAAAAAAAGCAAAAGAAATGAAAGCGATATGATATGATCTAGTTGGCACTTTGTGATTTGGTCATGTAAGTTTGTAAAGTGGAAGAATTATAATGTGAGAAAAGTGACTTCAATTATTTGAAATCACAATCCATACTTATAATCATTTTAATTTGCTTAATATATATTATCAGAAAATGCCATTCTATATTTACTTTAGTAACAATTATGTTTTTTTTCTCAATTTATATTATGTAAATGTAATTGTTAAAATGATTTTGAATATAATATTGTAATTTTTTTGTATTTACCAGAGTCGAAGAGAACTACATAAAGAGAAAGATATTTATATATCTTTCAGAGGTTTAAATACAAATATTTATTAGTGTAGAAATGCCTTTTATTTTTAATTTATTCAAAACTCATTATAATCTTTTTTTAACTTCCCATAGGAGAAGTTCATGTTTTCATAAAAAAATCCGATTCGCTAATTTTGTTTTCTCGACGTTTCAAGCCATTCTGAATCGAATGAGACCAAATTTGGAAAAACTATATGTGTGTGTGTGAACAGATTTTTTGCCGCAAATCGACGTTTTTTTCAAAAACAGCTGCACTGATTTCAAAATTTTGAAAGCCATTTGATGTATCTCGATGAGGACTATCGTTTGTCAGTTTGTGCGATGATCTGCCAAGCCCTTTCTTTGTAATCGATTTAAAAAAATTAAATGCTGTTCGAAAGACATTAGTTGGGAATGATACTGATTAGTTTTAGGTGAAAATTTACCGAGTCGTTTTCTTGTAATTAACTGTTGAAAAAAAATTTAATCCGATTTTTATGAAACTTTCTTGGCTATATATCGCCAATATCATGGTTTTATAGAACTTACTGAAAATTACGGCCTTACGACAAGTAGTTCAATTTTAAAAATTGATCAAAGTTTGAGAAAATGAGTAGTTCTTTTGACATTTGTTAAAATTAAAATTAGACTATTTACTTGGTATAATGATAGAGTACTTGGTCTTGAACATAATAAACCATTGAAGTCCTGGAAACTGGTTCAATTATAAAAATTATTGTTTTTTGAAAATTTGCTATTAGAAAATACTCCGAGTCAAAGTGTTCGTTCGTTTTCAATTATGTGTAATATATCCATTCGGAATACTTTTAATCACTCATAAATTAATTTATTTTTTATTGATTAAGTCAATTATTTAAACATATCGAGAAGTTTATGTAACTTGCCTCAAGTCTAAATACCAGACCAACTAGTTTGTTGAATGTTTTACCGATACTATACTACATTACATTAAAATCACCAAAATTTTTAAATTGCCCCCCTGAAATTACAAACTGAACCCCCCCCCCGTGGGTCGTGCGCCCCACGTTGGGAAACACTGCTTTAGGGAAAAAAATTGGAGTCAGACTTTTATTATTAGAATACAGATTTTTACAAAAGTTTTACGCCGAATTGTAACTATTTTTAATATAGTATTATTTAACTTTTGTGTAGAAGTTTTTGAAATTATAATAATATATGTTTGCTAATAATTTTATCGGATGAATAGAATCTTACAGGCAATTTATAATGAGAGTATACTACTTTATAAATATTTTAAATATATAAGCAATTACTTTAGCCAGTTTTAATCTGAGAAAATGTTTTAGATAAATTAATTAGCTACAATTTTATCTAATATCATATTTAGTTACAAAATACAGTTTAGAAGTTAATAGAAGATAATAATTATTATTAAAAATTTAAAAGAATGTCTTTACTCTAGACAACACTCGTCGCCATTACCATCACTTTTGAGCTTATGCAACTTCGTAAATAATTTAAAAATATAAATAATGATTTCATAATATTTTTATCTAAAAAAATGTTTTAGATAATTTAATTACCTATAATTCTATCAATTTGATCAAACATGATATTTAGTTACAAAATACAGATTAGATGTTATTAACAAAAATGTTAAAAAATGTCTTATATTGTCTATGCAAATTTAAAAATATTTAAAAATAGAAACAAAAACTTTACATATAGTTTTTGTCTGAGTAAATATTTTAGATAATTTATACAGCTATAATTTCCTCTTATACAACATTCATATACAATCTATAGATTTTGAGTAATCGACATAATCACGAATAAATGTCCTGAATTTACAGCACTAACTAAGTAACTGTGAATTATTATGTAATAATGCATTAAATATTTTTCTGAATTGAAATCAGTTTTAAAGTGACTTTCGTCGGGTTTGTATAAATATTTTATTTAATCGAATTAAATCGGATTTATTTAAGTGTTCTGTGTGAAATTAAATTGTGTTGTAATAATTTTAATAGTGATTTTAATTTTTCTAGTTAAAATAATGGTTTTGTAGAAGATGTTAACGTGAAAGTACCAAAAAGTAAGTAATCATTTAGTAAAATAATTTAGTAATTAAATCATACACATTTTATAGCATTTAAATAAAATATTTCCCTAAAATGTTAGAAAAAATAAATTTAATTATATTTAGAACGAATTCTTTTATGAATATTCCAATGTGAAGTGTTTGTCTGATGGAGAGAAGTTGATACGGACATTTATTTATATTTTCATTAATAACTTTTAAATTACTTATTACAACTAAATACTATCTTTAACAAAGTTATTGTTGAATAAATTCCCTAACACATTTGCTTAAACAAAAATGTTGTAAAATGTGTGCTTATATTTTTAAAATATTTTTAAACATGCTTAATGTTGAAAACGTGTCGGCCATTTTGTAATACAAAGACATTTTTCTGTATTTTGATCAATAACTTTTAAATGACTTATTATAACTAAATACCGTCTTTGACAAAGTTATAGCTGAATAAATTGTCTAAAATATTCTCTTAGATGAAAATATTGTAAAAATTCTGCTTATATTTTTAAGATATTTCTAAACTTCTTGAAAACGTGTTGGCCATTTGTTGTACAAACTTTTAAATTACTCATTATAACTTTTAACACTATCTTTGAAAAAATTGTAGCTAAATAAATTTTTTAAAATATTTTCTTAGACATTATGTAAAGTTTGTGACTATATTTTTAAAATATTTTTGAAGTTGCTTAATATTGATACGTCCAGAACTTTGTGAGGTACAAAGATATTTTTCAGTATTTTTATTAATAACTTTTAAATTACTTATTATAACTAAATACTGTCTTCAAAAAATATAGCTGAATAAATTCTCTAAAACATTTTCTTAGACAAAAATGTTGTACAATTTGTGCTCATATTTTTAAAAACATTTTAAATTTGAACGTGGTATATTTCTGGATAATAAAGACATTTTTTAGTATTTTTGTTACTAACTTCTAAATTACGTGTTCAATCTAAATATAATATTAGATAAAAATGTAGCTAGATTAATTAATAACTTCTCGTAGGGTAAGTTATTGTAATGGGCCGCAAATCGGAATTGAAAATTTTTACATTTCTCGACGTTTTGACGTGTGTGTGTGTGTGTGAGTGTGTATGTATACAAATTTTTGTCCACGTTTTCGGGCGTACGGATCAACCGATTTGAATGGCTCAAAAAACATTTGATTCTTATTGACAAGGAGATGTGCTGATTAGTTTTTGGCAAAGGCAGGTCCAGCCGTTACGGAGATACGGAAAGCAAAGAGCGCAGAAAATAGAAATCGATTTTTTGAGAGAACGGAGCATCCGATTTGAATGAACTAAAAAACATTCAATTAGTAATGATTGGGAGAAGTGGTTGTTAGTTTTTAGCAAAGGCGGGCCCAGCCATTTCGAAGATACGGAGCTAAATGTACAAAATATGGTAGTTTTTGAGAGAACTAAGCGTCCAGTTTAATTGATTCAAAAAACTTTCTGCTTGTCTTAACAAAATAATTGATTTTGGAAAAAAAATTTATTGTTTCAACTTTTTTTTTTTTTAATTTTTTGTATATCGAAAATAATTCAGATTTTATTTTTAATTCTGACTATAGTTCTAATATACTTTAAACAAATAATTTCAACTCTGCAATTCAGTTTATATAATTCTTATAAATATTAGACAATGTTACAATATTTATAATAATCTATTTGAAAACATTCAGTATTCCACGAACATTTCGTTACGGTACGGGAAGTTTCAGCAAAATTCATAATAATAACTATAATATAAAATTCATAATAATAACTTCTAAACTTCTGTTTAAAATTAAATACAGTCTTAGAGAAAGTTAAAGCTACTCTTGACCAATTTGTCCTTCAGGTTCAAATACTGAAACCAATGGTTACTAATCCACATTAATAATACATAATTTATAAAAATTAAAATATGAATAAAAAATTATGAAATAATATTGATATAATTTAATGTGTACTGTATATTTCATTATATTTATACATTACATTACATGCAAGAAACTTTTACAATATTTAAATTTAAGTGAACAAATATGCTTATGAAGCATTGATCTTCACCATGCTTCTGACTGTGAAGTGCCATGTGTCTCTTCAAATCCTTCGATTGAGTAAATTCCTTATTACATACTTCTCATTTATAGGAAAGCACTCGTTTATGAATCAGCATGTGTTTTTTCAAATGACTTGATCATTTGAATTTCTTATTGCATGTATTGCATTCATGAGAGCGTACTCCTTTGTGCATCAGCATGTGTACTTTCAGATTATCTGATCTCGTAAATGTCTTTTTGCATATATTGCATTCATGGGGACATACTCCATTGTGAATAAGCATGTGACTTTTCAGATGAGCTCTTTCTGTGAA